TTTCAACAAACGGATGCAGTGCTGAAAGTGCTCACTTGTCTATGCCAAGAAATTTGGAAGACAGCTACCTGGCCAACTGACTGAAAGAGATCCATATTTATTCCTATTCCCAAGACAGATGATCCAACAGAATGCAGAAATTATTGAACACTATCATTAATATCGCAAGCAAGTAAAATTTTGCTGAAGATCGTTAAAAAGCAGCTGCAGCAGTACATCAACAGGCAACTGCCAGAAATTCAAGCTGGATTCAGAAGAGGAGGTGGAACCAGGGATATCATTGCTGATGTCAGACGGACCATAGCTGAAAGCAGAGAATACCAGAAAGACGTTTACCTGTGTTTTATTGACTATGAAAAGGCTTTCGACTGTGTGGATCATAACAAATTATGGATAACACTGCAAAGAATGGGAATTACAGAACACTGAATTGTGCTCATGATGAACCTGTACATAGATTGAGAGGCAGTCGTTCAAACAGAACAAGGGTATACTGTGTGGTTTAAAGTCAGGAAAGGTGTGTGTCAGGGTTGTATCTTTTCACCATACTTATTCAATCTGTATGCTGAGCAAATAATCCGAGAAGCTGGACTATACGAAGAAGGAAGTCATCATAGTCATCAGAGAAGACTATATGATGAAGAAAAACCCAAGCCATGGTGTTTTCAGTTGCCTGATATGCATGCAAAAGCTGGACAATGAATAAGGAAGACCGAAGGAAAATTGATGCCTTTGACTTATGGTGTTGGCGAAGAATATTGAATATACCATGGACTTCCAGAAGAACGAACAAATCTGTTTGGGAAGAAGTACAGCCAGAATGCTCCTTAGAAGCGAGGACAGTGAGACTTCATCTCACATACTTTGGACACGTTATCAGGAGGGATCATACCCTGGAGAAGGACATCATGCTTGGTAAAGTAGAGGGTCAGCGAAAAAGCGGAAGACCCTCAATGAAATGGATTGACACAGTGGCTGCAACAATGGGCTCAATAATAACAATGATCGTGAGGATGACGAAGGACTGGGCATTCTTTCGTTCTGTTGTACAGTGTTGCTATGAGTTGGAACCAACTTGACAGCACCTAACAACAACAGGAATAAAGGAGTCCCTGGGTGGTGCAAACATTTAAGCACTGGGCTACTAACTGAAAGGTTGGTGGTTTGAACCCACCCAGAGGTGCCTTGGAAGAAAGGCCTGGCAATCTGCTTCCAAAAGGTCACAGCCATGAAAACTCTGTGGAGTACAGTTCTACTCTGATACACATGAGGTTGCCATGAGTCATAACTGATTATAGGGTAACTATTTTGTTTTGTTTTTTAAGAATGAAGCCAACACGTAGTACCTGGTGTCTTAAAAGCTTGCAAGTGGCCATCCAAGGTACAACAACTGGTCTCTATTTGCCTAGAGCAATAGAGGAAGAAGGAGAGTCAGGAATAGGAGGGGATAATGGAATGTGTGGCTAATTGTCTCCATGAACAACTGCCCCCTTTGCCATGAGACCAGGAGAACTGGATAGTGCCCAGCTACCATTACCGAACCTTTTGATCAAAGATTCTATAGAAGAATCCTAACCAAAAGAGGGAAAATGCAGAACAGAATTTCAAATTCTCATGGACTCCAGACTTCCTAGAGCCATGGAGGCTGGATGAACCCCTGAAACTTTTGCCCTGAGATCATCTTTAAACCTTAAACAAAAAAGATCCCCTGAGGAAACTAGCACAACCTGTACAAGGAAAGGTCATGGAAGCCCCATAGACACATCCAAACTCCCTG